TATACGGCTGAATGCTTATCTTTGTTGTATGATCGTTAATCACCCCCACGTATTAGCTTCATAAAGCTAAAGGATAAGGCCCACCAATCCCCCATCTTTTGAGAATTATATTGATCTTTGAGGAATTCAATTTATGGGGTTAATTTGGTGACATGTTATTATTTCATCTTTATTTCAATTCGGCTGAGACTTATTGGTCAACGATGGCCAAGATATGACCATCGTCAATTGCCATATCTTTGGCTATAGATTTAACCAGAAACGACAAAATTAGTGCAAGATCGACCAAATTCAGTTGGTCGTACGCCATTCCGACAACTTCTGACCATCGTTCGGAGGTGGCGGCTGGTTGCCAACAATCAGTTGGGTGAGTGGGGGTGTTTTTTTTTTAATTTATAAACTTTTATTGTGGAGGTGTTTAGCTAAATTAACAAATATAATCATAATCATATCTTATTTGATTAAATCATATCCTATCCTATTTATAATAGAATTATATTAAAAAAAACGTAACAAACTCTTTTGTGTGATGTACGTTCATTGAATTAATTATTGAGAGTCTATATGTCACATGTGTTAATGTTAACGTTTTCGATTGCATGGATAAACATTGCAAAAATGTATATATATTTTCAAGGTGCCATGTTACGTATGCTCAAACTTATTGTTAGTTTGACATGTAAACATAGTTGTGTTTGTTTCCTTATTCCTATCATATCCTATTCAAAATGCATGTTTGTTTCACTGTTCCCAAAATCAAACCCTATTCTATTCAACTCAAAATATTTAAATTTTTTAACCTCCTAGGCTTGTTAATTTAACTAAACACCCCCAATAATAAAAAATTATAAATTGACAAAAACACCTCCATTCACCCACATATTCTTGACAGATTCAGCCACCACCGCTAGCATTTAATGGGTGGGTGGGGGTGTTTTTCTTAATTTTAAAACTTTTATTGTATGTGATGTTTAACTAAATTAACAAGTATAGGTGATTAAAAAATAATCTTACCAAACACATTTTCAAATTCAAATCTTATCCTCGTAATAATAACTCAACTTAATTTTTTCAAAAATACTACTCAAAATAATAAAACAAACACACTTTAGATATTCTTTTAGAAGCAAAGTTGATTAATTTAGTAAAGACCGGCTCACAACTCATACTTACAAACTTTCTCTCACAACTCCGATGTAGTAGTTTGTAATTGATCAATTCATAATTGGGTAGGCAAGATCCACTGCAAGCAGGTGGGACCCATTTGCGAGCGGACCAATTATGAGCTATCACGGCAGGATTGTGAGAGAAAGTCTGTGAGATTGAGTTGTAAGTGTAGTATTGTTTGATTAAGTGTATCATGTATATTCTTTTTTAATTTCAAAATTTCTTCAAAAAAGAATGAAAAACCTCGTTAAAAGCATTTGAGCAAAAGTCCTTACATAATTTGGATATGGATTATGAATTCATAAATAGATATATAAAATACTATACCATTTGAAATCATGAATGTTTTTGCCTTTTGAGTAAAGGCAGATTTGAGTTGAATATTGAATTTGACCTAATCCATAATTAGGTTGGATTGCATTTAATACAATTTACCTATTTGAAGCTGTTAGGCTAGGCGAGGTCAGCCGCTCGTGAGTGGTTCGACCACTCTCTGCCAGTAATCCGAGATATGAAAATTCAAGTAGCTACATGAACAAACTTTGAAGCCAGGTCTGCAACATATCATAATCATATGATCTATCCACTATTCTGCAGAAAATAGCTATCCTCCATGTTAAAAACAATACGCCCTCTAAATAATTTCAGCAAAAATATAATTATATTGTAACGCCCACATAGAGGTACATAATTTAATTTATGCTCTTATACGTTTAGTTGGTTTTTGTTAAAGTCATTTTGAGAAAATGCCTTAAAATTTCATTAAGGGTAAAATGGTTCTTTCACTCAAAATTAGTTGAAATTGTGGGGAGTGAAAAGAGATAGAATTTCATGGAGAATGCAATAAAAATGAGGGCATTATGGTAATTGACTAAGAGACATAAATGAAATTTTAAAGAAAGTGCAAGGGCAAAATGGGAAACTAATATATAATATTTTGTTACATCAAGGATTGAAGAGTGAACTCCTAGCCACTCTTCACCCATTTTCAAGCCACCTTCACCTCCATATTCTCTCAATTTCTTCAATTCTTCTTCAAAGGAAATTCATAGATTTTGGGTACTTTTGAGTGGATTTTCAATCCCAAGCATCTTTAGGTAAGATCCTTGCACCAAGAAGTGAGTTTTAATTTTTAAAGTGTTGAATTTTGATGATTTGTGTTCATAGAAGTTAAGGGAAAGAGAGTTGGATCAAAGAAGATTATTAGGGTGCTGGATTGCTCACATATAAGGTAAGTAAATCCTACCCTAAGTATGATTTAAGTTATGTTGTGTAGATAATTTCTTTTATGCATATATATGTTTTATATGTAGAATTGTTGATGGATTTGGTGTTGAATGATGATTATAACTTATCCATAAGAAGTTGTGTTGGTGTATTTGATGTTTGATGAATGTTTGGATGAAATTTGGAAGAATTGGAGTGGAAATTTTGGAGTGTATATTTTGGGCAAATTTGGCATTAAATATGGAGGGTTTTATTCCCAATTTTTGATGGCTTAGAAAAGAGATAGAAATGTAGGCAAATTAGAGTTGCTTTGTGCACATAAGTTGTTTGATGAAATGTCAAAGAGAAGTGTTTATATGTGTATGATTATGTGTTATATTGAGATGAGTTTGTAGATGGTAGAGAATGACATGTTTGCATTCAATATTGCATAATTGCATTTAAACATGTGAATTTAGAAAGAATTATAAGCATGAAACCATCTACATGCATACATATTCATAAGAGCATGAAAAAACACTAAAGAATGTTAAAGAGTAAATAGAAAGAAATGAGAATATTAAAGAAGTTCAAATATGAATTTTATTTAAAGAAGTGTACAAAGATAAAAAGAAGGAAAGGTTGTTGCGATGAGGAACCATGAGTGACAAGAAGAATTTTCCCCACATGCATGCCACCTTCAGTGAGCGGCCTAACAAGAAGAAAGAAGAATTGGTACAGTCCGTAAGAGTGCATGTGGAGGAGGGCTATACCCAAGAAAGAAGAATACACTCACACGGCCAAGGTTCCAAATCCATGCCTCAACCGAGTTCGATCGGCAAAAGAATAAGAAAAGAATGAGAAAGAAAAGAAAAGAATAAGAAAGAATAGAAAGAAAGAAAAGAAAGAATAAAAAGAAAGAAAGACTAGAAAAGGAAGCAAAGAAAGAAGAATAGAAAAGAAAATGCATATTTTATACATTTGTGCATTTGCATTATATATATGCATAATACCATGTCCATTATCTGAGTAGTGGGAAATTAGAATAGAAAAAGAACAGAGAGAAAAACAGAGTAAAAGTAGAGAAAGAATAGAGAAGAATGGGGAAATGTAAAGTAAGGAAAGAAATTCAGAATTTAAGCAATGGAAAGAAAAGGGCAGCATAACGGGTTTACTTACTGAGCAATTAGTGCTCACCCCATTGTTTTCAATGTTTTTGCAGGTAACAGGTGAAATGCGGTCACTTGGAACATCACGCAGCGGAAGGGTTGGGCAAAACTATCAAGTTAATATTTTGAGACTTTATATATTATGTAAAGTTTTGTGTATAAAGAAAATGAAATATGGGCCCATACTTTTATACTTGTTTATATGTATATATTTTCGTATATATATTTAATGAGTTTTACTGTTATTTTATGAGTATACTAGCTAGAAAGAGAGTCATTACAAAATCTGAACCCTACAGGTTTCAGATAAATACATTTTATCCCACTCTCTTTTCCAGTGAGATGTATTATTTAACCCTCAACACCCAAAACCTTAAGCCAGTTTGAACCCTCGATACATAATCCACAAATGGCGCTACTGAAATGATGCTCAAAAGCTTGATTCGTCGTTTTTCTTCCTCTCCTTCTTCATTCGCAAAAGCAGGTAAAATGACTACAACTATACCACAAGATTTAGTACTTAAAGTAACCCAGCTTCAGAAATTCCTTCAAAAATATTGTAAAGAAGGTAACATCACTCTTGGTGAAGCACGCTATTTCTTTTGTTTAATGATTCATATGCAAACCAAACCAACGATTTCATCATTCAATTGGTTGTTTGGAGCTCTTGATAAGAAGAAGTTTTATAAAGACTTTATTTTGCTGTACAAACGATTGGGTTTGATGGGGTTGTTACCTGATTTAATTACTTTGAATATTTTGATTAATTGTTTTTGTAATGTGGGTCGAGTTTGTGATGGTTTTGCGGTTTTTTGGAGGATTTTGAGATGGGGTTTTAACCCAGACATTGCGACTTTTAATTCTTTGATTAAAGGTTTGTGTTTGGAGAATAGGAGTTTGGAGGCTATGGAGTTGTTCAAGAAAATGGCTGTGTTTGGGGTCAGGTTTGATATTGTTTCTTATGGTAGTATTGTCAATGGTCTCTGCAAAGATGGGTTGGTAGATAAGACGAAAGAATTGTTTTTTGGAAATGAAGAGTGGAGGAATTAAGCCAAATGTGGTTGTTTGTACCACTCTAATTTACGGTTGTTTTTTGAGATGCTAGATCAAGGTTTGCAGCCTAATTTACTAACGTATAATACAATGATAAGTGGGTTTTGCAAGGAGGGGAAGATAGAGAAAGCTAATGGGTTGATGGAAATGATGATTCAAAAAGGTTTGCAACCTAATATCGTGACTTTTAATTCAATGATAAATGGGCTTTGCAAGGAGGGGAAGATGGAGGAAGCTAATAGGTTGTTGGAATTGATGATCCAAAGAGGTTTGCAACCTAATGTGGTTACGTTTACTACAATGATAAGTGTGCTTTGCAAGGATGGGAAGACAAAGGAAGCTAATGGGTTTTTGGAATTAATGATTCAAAGAGGTTTGCAGCCTAATGTGGTTACATTTACAACAATGATAAATGGGCTTTGCAAGAAGGGTAAGACGGAGGAAGCTAATGAGTTGTTGGAATTAATGAGTCAGAGAGGCTTGCAACCTAATGTGGTGACTTTTAGTACAGTGATAAATGGGTTTTGCAAGAAGGGGAAGATGCAGGAAGCTAATGGGTTGTTGGAATTGATGAGTCAAAGAGGTTTGGAGCCTAATATGGTGACATTTACTACAATGATAAATTGGCTTTGCGAGGAGGGGAAGACGGAGGAAGCTAATGGGTTGTTGAAATTGATGAGTCAACGAGGTTTGCAGCCTAATGTGGTGACTTTTAATACTATGAAAAGTGGGCTTTGCAATGAGGGGAAAATGGTGGAAACTAATGGGTTGATGGAATTGATGATTCAAAGAGGTTTGCAGTATGATGTGGTGACATTTAATTTAATGATAAATGGGCTTTGCAAGGAGGGGAAGGTGGAGGAAGCTAACGGGTTGTTGGAATTGATGAGTCAAAGAGGTTTTCAGCCTAATCTGGTGACATTTAATCCAATGATTAGTGGCTTTGCAAAGAGGGGAAGATTAAGGAAGCTAATGGGTTAATGGAATTGATGATTCAAAGAGGTTTGTAGCCTAATGTGATGACTTTTAATTCAATGATAGATGGGCTTTGCAAGGAGGGGAAGATGGAGGAAGCTAATAGTTTTTTGGAATTAATGAGTCAAAGAGGTTTGTAGCCTAATGTGGTGACTTTTAATACAATGATAAATGGGCTTTGTAAGGAGTGGAAGATGGAGGAAGCTAATGGGATGATGGAATTTAATATTCAAAGAGGATTGCAGCCTAATGTGTTGACTTTTAATTCAATGATAAATGGGTTTTGCAAGGAGGGGGAGATGGAGGAAGCTAATGGGATGATGGAATTGATGATTCAAAGATGGTTTGCAGCCTGATATGGTGACGTTTAATACAATGATAAATGGGCTTTGCAAGGAGGGGAAGATTGGGGAAGCTATGGGTTGTTTGAATTGATGAGTCAGAGAGGTTTGTGGCTTGATGTGGTGATACTTACTACAATGATAGAGGGCTTTGCAAGGAGGGGAAGACGGAGAAGGCTAATACATACTTGAAATTGATGATCCAAAGGGGTTGCAGCCTAATGTTTTGACTTTTACTACAATGATAAGTAGGTGTTTCAAGGAGGGGAAGATGGAGGAAGCTAATGGGTTGTTGGAATTGATGAGTCAAGAGGTTTGGAACCTAATGTGGTGGTTTTACTACAATATAAATGGGCTTTGCAAGGAGGGCAGATGGAGGAACTAATGGGTTGTTGGAATTGATGAGTCAAAGATGTTGCAGCCTATGATCTGATCTTCTAGTCTTGACCTTTACAGGGCCCATAGGCTGATTTGGTATCTTTATATGTTGCATCCTTCATCATATGTCTTGACTATACCCCTTTAATTATTTTTTGTTTTATTTTTTGCTTATTTCATTTGTTGTTGCTCACCTGAATCTCACCTTAATTGTTTTAACTTTTCTTTTTGCAATGAGTTCTGGATATCTGAAAGTATATACCATGAGCAAAGATGGCACTTGATACTTTTGCAAATATCTGCCACTTGGTGTCTGACCGTGAAGGAAAATTTTAAGATAGCCATTGAGGAAATAGACTTTTTTTTTTTTTCCCTTTTTTTAAATGCTATTTTACCAAAGTTCTCTCAAAGCATGAAGCTAGAAGTCTAACATCCAATGATTTTTTGCCTTTATGGACGTTGTCCAACTTTTTGTCTACTCAAATACTATTGTATCATTTTTTCTTCCAGTGCATGGCTTGACAGTTAGATATATCTGTGACATACTCTGTTTACTTAAGTTCTTTAATGGTAAATGTATACTTCCGTAGTATGATTTTCCTTTCCCAAACGAAGTTGTATTTCAGTTTTTCATTATCAAGATGTAAATTTGCACATATCATGTATTTTAGGATTCGTTCCTCACTTTGTTGATAAGGTAGTATAGGAATCTCATCGCGTCTTGTTTTATATAAGGAGAATTCTTCTCTTGTATACTTTCAGTATCTTGGATATGTGATAATTTTTATATATTTTAGAGCTACTATCGTTTTAATCCTTTTCCATTTTTCAAAGTCGATTGCTGATTTTGTACCAAGCATTCAGAGCCTTTAAGATTTCTGATGCCATAAAATTATAGTTCTGCAACGAAGATATCTGAAGCAGTATGGTAGGATAATTTGATAATGACATGCCAAAGATCTCAAAGCATTGAAATTTTCTTGATCCAACCAAAGGTAAATGTGTTTTGATCAGTTATACATTGACCAAGGGTTATCAAGAACTCCATCAATCAAAGAAAGCAACTTAGAACTAATTACTAATTATTGTTCCAAGAGTTGATTTCTAAAGATTTATCTCAATTTCACTAAAGCTTTGCTTTATGATTCCGGTGTGAACATCTAAGCATGGTGTTTTAGTTGATGAAGGCAGAGGCTAGAGATATATATTGAAGAGAAGAACATTTTAGGCGAAGTGAGCACTGATACAATTTGGAAAATCTTTTAGAGAACCAGGCTGCAAATTTTTGGTTGAAATTGGCATGTCTAGTGTGGAAGAAGCATCTGAGCAGGTGTTTTTAGTGATGAAAGAGCGGTTGCCGTGAAGAGACTAGGAGATATATTTTGAGGAGAAGAAACATTTTAGGCTGAAGTGAGTACAATTTGGAAACTCTTTTACATGAACCAGTCTGTTGTGGTGGAAGATAGAAACATGAGATTGGCAATGGATTCAATAGTCAGGGCACTTTTAGAATCATAAGCTAAACTAAAATCAATTGTGTGGAAAATTGTACCTGCAATATTTGAGCTATAAATTTATTTTCTGTTTTTGGTTTGTTTTTGTTGAAGGATTCCCAGGATACAGTTTGATCATATAAGATTAATCATAGTTACTTTTTGCTTTGTTAATCACAATTAAGAGTTCCTAAACCTTATGGATTTGCTTTTAAGCTTTACATGAACATCCTTCGCTCGAACACGTTTACTTAGTTCAATGATTCAAGTTTATAAACTAGTTCAACACTCAGTTGCCAATATGCAGGTATGTCAATTTAAGGAGCTACATATTTCATGCAAATTCCATGAACAATTTGATGCTTGGCCTACAACATTAAAAAAAAACACAAAATAGTTTTTGTTGTTCTTCATCATATCATAATCATATGATCTATCCAAAGCTGCAGAAATAGCTATCCATGTCAAGTACAATACCCCCTCTAAATTATTTCAGAAAAAATGTAATCCCCAAAGTTAAAAACAACAAAATCCACCCAAAAGTAGAAAGTTGAAAGTACAAACGTATCATAAATAATTTCTCTTGTTTCGAAATCTGATGGCGTTTACTTTAACCATCAAATCCATAAGTCTCCACAAATAACTATCCATGGATAGCAAAAACTCTCACACTTATCTCAAAATACATAGTGGGTTTTATACTGTAGAAAGAAGCAAACTAGTTATATCACAATCATATGATCTTATGATCGGTAAATACATAAACACTCTACAGTTATCCAAAAATCAATAAATCCCTTAAAGTTCAAAACTAACACTAAATGAACCTAGAGCACAAATATTTACCCACCACCGGAGCCATTGATTTTCTTAAAACAATTTGATCAAGCCTCGATTGAGACATGAGCAAACATAAAGAAATGGCAAAGTGGTCTCATTACATTAAAGAGAGAAATGAGAGAAGGACTGAAAGGCCCAATTTTATTAATTTTGCTTCTTTTGACAGACCACCGTTGCCTGGATAATTACATGTGTACCCTACAGGTTTCACATAAATACATTTCATCCCGTTCTCATTTTCCGTGAGATTGTATTATTTAAACCACAAAAGACTTAGCCAGTTTGAACACTAGATAATCCGCAAACGACGCTACTCAAATGAGTTCAAACCCTTTCTTCGTTGCGGTTCTTCTTCTTCTTAAACCAAAATCTCATCTTGTTCACAAATACATGTAAAGTGACTACAACTATATCACCAGATTCAGTACATAACGTTGAAAGAGTAGCAGGCTTGATAACTTCATTCAAAAGGATTGTAAACAAGGTAATATCACTCTTGATGAAGCACCTATTTCTTTTGTTTAATGTTCATTGCAACCCAAACCACCGATTTCATCATTCAACTGATTGTTTGGAGCTCTTGCTAAGAAAAGTTTTATGAAGACTTTATTTTGCTTTACAAAAGAGCGGATTCAATGGGGTTGATTCCAGATCTTTTTACATTAAATGTTTTGTTAATGTCTTTTTCTAGCGTGGGTTGAGTTTGTGTGGTTTTGTTCTTTTCGGGGGATTTGAATCGAGGTTTTATCCCAGATTTTGTGACTTTGACTTCTTTGATTAAAGGTTTGTGTTTGGAGAATAGGGGCACGAGGCTAGAGTTGTTCGAATTATGAGACAGAAGGTTTGCACGTAATTTGTGACTTTTAATACATGATAAATGGGCTTTGCAAGAAGGGAAGACGAAGGAAGCTAATGGATTGTTGGAATTGATGAATCAAGGGTTTGCAGCCTAATTTGGTACTTTAATACAATGATAAATGGGCGGTGCAAGGTGGGGAAGACGGAGGCAGCTAATGGGTTTTTGGAATTGATGGGTAAACATGTTTGCAGCCTTATGTGGTGACATTTACTACAATGATAAGTGGGCTTTGCCAAGAGGGAAGTTGGAGGAACTAATGGGTTGATGGAATTGATGAGCCAAAGAGGTTTGCAGCTTGATGTGGTGACATTTAATTCAATGATTAGGGGCTTTGCAAAGAGGGAGATGGAGGAAGCTAATGGGTTGATGGAATTGATGAGTCAAGGTTTGCAGCCTGAGTGTGTGACTTTTAATTCAATGATTAATGGGCTTTGCAAAGAGGGGAAGATGGAGGAATCAATGGTTTGAGATTGATGAGTCAATGAGGTTGCAGCCTGATGTGGTGACGTTTAATTCAATGATAAATTGGCTTTGCAAAGGGGAGATGGAGGAAGCTAATGGGTTGATGGAATTGATGAGTCAAAGAGGTTTGCAGCCTAATGTGTGACTTTTAATACAATTATAATGGGCTTTGCAAGATAGGGAAGATGGAGGAAGCTAATGGGTTGTTTGAATTGATGATTCAAGAGGTTTGCGCCTGATATGGTGACTTTTATTCAATGATAGATGGGCTTCGCAAGAAGGAAATGGAGGAAGCTAATGGGTTGATGGAATTGATGAGTGAAGAGGTTTGCAGCCTGATGTGGTGACGTTTAATTCAATGATTTGGCTTTGCAAAGAGGGAGATGAGGAAGCTAAGGGTTGATGGAATTGATGAGTCAAGAGGTTTGCAGCCTGATGTGGTGACTTTTAATACAATGATAAATGGCTTTGCAAGATGGGAAGATGGAGGAAGCTAATGGTTTTTTGAATTGATGAATCAAAGGGTTTGCAGCCTAATATGGTGACGTTCACTATAATGATAAGTGGGCTTTGCGAGGTGGGGAAGATGGAGGAAGCTAATTGGTTGTTGGAATTGATGAGTCAAAGGGGTTT